GGACAAAGGCCTGAAGACCAGGTTCTGTTCTTTCAACAGTCCGGGTTTTATAGTCTGGACGAGTGTTTCTCAATGTGTGGGCCATCTGGAACACCATGGTTCAGGATGCTTGTCTGCAGGGCACTTTCTTAGGCCCTATTCATACAGGCCTACTGACGCAGACCCTAGGTGGGGACAGAGGCCCAGAACTGGGCCTTTTAAAATAATCACTCCAGAAAAATTTTATATAACGTTCGATAGAACACTGTTCGAAATTTAGGAAAACTAAAATCAACTTTAGTTCCACTTATCTCACCGTAAGCAAATCTAGAAGAATTTCTCTAAGCTTCTGTGTGCTCATCCTTCGAGTAACAACAGCAACGGACACCAAAGGTGAGTGTAAGGACAAATACAAATCAGAGCACTTTCTAAGCCGAAAAATGCTCCATGAGAGGTAGTTAATAGCAACAGCTTCCTAGTTAACAACTACATTGGATTTGGGAGCAATCCTCTATTTTTCTATTCTGAGACAGGAGACACTAGAAATTCCTATGTGTAGATTATATTAAAATTTTAATAATTATGTGTGAAATATATACCTATGATTATAAAACATTATCAAAAAGTAAATGGAAACAACAGTAATATATATCCCTACTATGGACTTTTTAATGATCATATCAGGTAATTATTTGGGTTGCAGTCAAAAATGTTAAATGTCAACAGTACATGACTAGACACCCCCATTCAGCAGCACAGCCCCTTCCAGGAACAGAAGCTAACCTTCCTTGGCCTTGGCCTTGGAGACAGTATACTATAGTGGTAATAGCACCATATTTTTAAATCCATCACATGTCTGTGAACTTATTATGGAAGAAGCTAAGTTCTAGAACAGTTTCTCTATAGTAGTTTGGGGTACACCTTTGGGAACCTAATGAAAACCATAAGCATTCCCCCCCCACAAATTACCTATAAATGCAAAATTTTACCCTAGAGGCTGTTTATTCTTTTGTATATAATAGGATATAATGATAATTACCTCTCAGGGTTTTAGGGGATGTTATCATCAGAAACAGAATATTTAAAAGCACTTTGTAAATTATAAAGATTGTTATGATTATTACTTTTTTTTAAAAGAACGACTCTTAGTACTGACTCCACAGAATAATTTGGCAGAAAAGTTTGAGGGCTTTCACTTTGCGCTCACAGTTGCCTACAATGTCCACCCAGTAAAAAGCGGACCATGGATCTGAATAAACATGTCTCCAAACAAGATATACAAGTGGCCAGTAAGTACATGAAAGACACCTGGAATCATCAGTCACTAGGAAAACACAAATCAGAATCACAAGTGAGATACCACTAAGACAGCTTATAACGTGAAAGGCCTCGATCTCCTCGTCTGTAAAGCAGGGCGGTTAACTGAATGACCTTGGTGTCTGCCCTCTAAGTCTGTACTCTGGGTGGCTGCTCTAACCACACTCTGAATAGGGGTTTCGGGTTTGTATGTGCCACGAGGGTTGATGCTACAAAGAGTAACCTTGGAGGGTGTACATTGCATACCTGTTTGTGGTTGCTGCTTTGGAGCCATCTGGCAAAAAAGCACAGAAACCACCCTTAGATTTTACAAGTGCCTCACAACTTGTTATCTATTAACCTCCTGGCACTCTGCGTAAGGCCTCGTGGCAAATCCTGCACCCTCAGCAAATGTTTGCTGATTGGATGGACTGTTCCATGTCAGTAATAATCACAGCACAAACAACACTGCCAAACAGGGTAAAGTTTTATGTTACTACCATTCGTGAACAGGAGTTCCAGCAGATACACACAGAAAGATGTCCCCACATTCTTCTCTAAGTATACTGCTTTCAGTATGTTAAAATGAATTATTCAACTAGCCACCATAAAACTAGAGCTGTCCTCTAGGATCTGAGAGGGAGAGGTGTGTGGAAAAGTTCACTGGATATTTATAACACACGTGCATACCCACAGAGAACACTGTGTTTTCATTCACACATACACACCCTCGCTCCTGCAGGGAAGCGGAGATGACGGAACGGGGCACAAAAAGCCAGCAGCAGTGAAGGCAGAAGGAGAACGATGGGCTGACAAGCTCACGGCCACTCCCTTCTGAAAACCTTCCCTAGGAATGGGACTAATGCTCTAGGGAAGAAGGTTTGCTTACTTCAACACTATAATTCAGACGCAAAGTATAAACAAGGCAAGTTTAGCTCAAAGAATATCAACTTTATCCACTTCATGCATTTTATACCCAAAGTACAGAAAACAGCACACCAGGTCAGCATTCAAGTGATGCCCATGAGCAGCGCCATCTGGGTGGGTGGGGAGCTTGTCCAGACTGTGCACAGACGAACCTGTGAAGTTCTCACAGCCACGTGATGGCTTGTGACAAACTCACACTTGCTTAGACAAAGTCACATGTTCAGTAAAGGAAGAAAAATAACCTGACCTTGCTGAGAACAGCACTGCCCTCCAATCACAAACACACATACATACGGCGACACAAGTGACACACCAGTGTGTAAGGCTTCAACTGGCTGCAGCCAGCCTCAACCACCTTCTAGAATCTTCAGTGGGACAGAGCAGTGTTGTCTCTACACTGCTCAGGCTCCCTGAAACCACAAGCACTTCTCAGCAGTTCCTTTACCTGAACCTCTTCCTTAGCAGGTGACAGGTAGCAGCATACATGGTGGCCGTTCTTTCACGTGTCAAGCAGCCAAGTATCTGCTTTCATGACCTTGGTGCCAACCGGGGAGCCGGTGCCCATGTCTCTGAGCCCTGCCCTAGAGCAGAAAGGCAGGTGCATGCTTGACAAACAGTGCCCGAAACATAGGAGATTAAGTTCACGCATGCCTGTAAGAAGTTCCCTGAACCCAGACAAGTGTGCAAAGGAAGCAAACAAAACATTTAATTGGGGACAGTGTGTGTATGTGGGGGGAGGGGGTGACACAATCATGGACATCAAAACCGGGACTTCATTGGCATGCATCTAAGTCCATCATGATACATCCCTTAATTCCTTTATATCTGGGCTGAGTGGGACACAAGAGCAAGGCCCTAAATTATCCACTATAACCACTTTAGTCTATAAAAGTTGAGCACTTGCATTTGGGCTACAAAGTCGAAATCATGCCATGCAAAACACAGTGGGATGGATCCATTTGCTATTATAGAATGGTCAAATTCAAGTGAATGCCCTCCAAGACAAGCTGGAAACCTCATCAGTAATCCCTGAGTCACCTAATCTTTGATTCCGGCTTCTTTAAGTCTTGAGGAAAGCCCAGAGGCCGCTGTGAGTAGTGCACAGGCCACTCAATTCAGCGTAATTGATATTTGCTTAAAGGAAAACGTGATCAGTCTCACTACTGCTAATGTCCCATTAAGACTAAAAGTTAATTAGGCTGTGTTCCATAAAGTTAATTTGAGGCATTTGTCTCAATAGCATTATTGTAATTAATCCTCATCAAAATGAATACTGTCTCCTACTGCGCGCCAACGTCTTGTGTAAACAATAGCAGAAATCCAACTTGAATCCCACTCTCCACTTGAGTTATTTACTTAGGTTTATGTTGACACAGAACTAACTGCACATGGGGATGCATAGACATTAACGGGTTTTTAAAAGAATACTACTAAAGCAGGTTTAAGGTCTCTTGAGTTTCCAAAGGCCAGGAAAATATAAGCAAAGTAAACAGCATGATAATTTCGTATATCATAACAAATACCAGCACAAGTCAAAATGAGCAGCTCCCATTGAAGTTAAGCTATTCCGGTGCGCCGGTGCCCTGGGACAGATGCCCCGACCTGCGGGACGAATGAGCACACATGGCACGCTGCACGTGTGCGTCCCTTGTCTCCACCCCCCACCCCCCACATCTGTGTTTCCACACTGCTCGGGAGGCGCTTACAAGGTCTCGGGCACACAGCAGAGGCAGGGACACCAGGGCACCCACTTATGAGATTACTAATGACAAAGAACAGAAGGTGGTTTCCCTGGCAAATTTATACATAGCAAGCTAATCCCCTCTAATGACTCTTTTGAAAATACTACCTTTAATAAAATGTAAAATGTTAATTGTTAGAGAAACAACACAAAAGCCTAAAAATCCAAAAGACAGAGTGAGTGGTTTGTCATATAGATACCATAGATATTCACCTCTGGCAGCTGATGTTAATGTCACAGTTAAGATATTTTAAAAATTATGCTTCAGAGGAAAGTTTAACTGCAATCATATTTTCTTATTACTGTTCCATTGGCATCCTCAGCGGTCCAGTGATATGATTAAAAGGCAGGGGAGGGGGAGGGTGGGCACAGGGGGAGCTCAGAGAAATGCAGGAGTGACTGCACCAGGTACATCCTGCAAATGTCGACGACTCCCGCAGTTTAACCCTGGACATGGGCAGCAAGTGTCTTTTCAACAGTGATTCTCAAACTTGGTGGCACATTAAAAGCACCTAAGAAGCCTTAAATACCCCAATGCCTGGGCTGCCTGCCCCTCCCCACAACCCCTAATCTAATCTAATCTCTAGAAGTGGGACCTAAGCAACAATAGCTTTTAAAGCTTACCAGGTGACTCCAACAGGCAGCCAAGCTCAACCCTGTGCCTTGCCTAGGGAAGGTCTCAGATGCAATGATACTGTTGTTAGATGCTAATGATGACATGCATCTATTACTCAGGGGAAAATGAAATATTGCTAAACCATGGTGGAACTAGTCATAAATCAAGGGTTCAATTTCCAATTTTGCCCCTCCTCACTTGCATGGCTTTGGGGCAAATCACTTGATTTCCTGGGATGTCAATCTGCACTCCTTTTAAACATTCCTTTTAAACGTAAAGGGGTTCTACACAATCTGTACCAGCCCACTGAATCCCATGGTTTTACGCCCTAATAAATAGAGAAATGCTTTCAGATGGGATGGTCTGGCTTGGGGGTAGAAAGTTTGAGGTAAATCAGGATCCCAGTTTTGCTCATGCGCTCTTTTCAAGAGCCAGACCCACCAGCAAAAACTGAGTGAACTCCGAGTACGTCAGGTGTCTCTTCCGTTCTTTTCCGAAATGCAGCTGCACAAACTCTGAATCCCAGTTAAAAGGGATACGTTGGTGAATTGTAGTCTGTCCAAAAACTTGCTTAACATCCTCTGAAAACAGAAAAGGAATGGTGATTAAAACAAAGACAATCAGGTTCGACCTTATAAAACCTATGAAATGGACAGTGCTACTTTCTTCTTATCAAGAGTAACTCAACCTAACATTGTAGTATTTGTGTTATAACCCTAAACCTACTTTTGCCTGGCCCTGTACATACAAAAACACATGTGACACTACACAAACTTTAAATACTGTCCTTTACTGAGCTACTGGAAAGTGTTTTTAAGAATTTAGAAGTCAGTTAGAAAAATCTTCAAGCACATATTCCATGGCGCTCAGACCCCGTTTGAGCCTTAGAGATTCCCACTACTTAGCAAGCCCCACTTGAAGACAAAGGTGGTGGGAAGAAAAGCCAGCAGCTCAGTTCTTGAACTTTATACAGCATATGTTTAGCTTGGCAGAAGTTCTTAAAAGGCCCAGATTATCCCATGTTACCATGGGCTACCAAATGTGCTATCACAGATTCATCACCTCTTGTTTGTTTCTGCTACAAAACTGTACAAAGACTGACAGAGGAAAAAAAGAAACAACAATATGAAAAACCTTACTTTTTTAAAGCTTCATGTTTTTATTGACTAGTATCCTCCTCCCTGAAGAAGTGTGTGTTTGGAGGGCAGAGGGAATACAGGTTATTATTATATTAATGAAATTTGTCCTGACCTTCACAACATTAAATAGAGCTACCAAACCTCTTATTTTTATTAGCAAACTGTGCCTGATACTTTTTTTTAAACTCTGTGTCTATTTAGAATAAGAAAAAAGAATGAAGCTCTTTGGTCCTCTAAAGGGTGCCAAGAACTCTGGCACATGTTTCCATGGTCTCCCCCAAATTTCCTATTTCCACACCCATTATACCCACAAGATTTTATTCCATGATTTTAAAGTTTCCAGAAATTTTTAAAGTCTTGCCATGAAGAAACAGTAGTGCCACCATCAGCATAAGCCTGGGCGTGTTTGCACAGAGAAGGTAGTAAAAATCAGAATTATGCCAGGCATAAATTTTAGAAAAGGTGGCAGAAAACCTCAGACTGGCCCTGACAGTAAAATGAAAAAGTTTTAAAGGGCAACCGTCAATTTCTTTGAATTTACTCTGTCTTCTCTACTTTGGGGGTGGGGGGAAGAGACAGGATATAAGAAAAACAAATGAAACAAGAATTAAGGTTTAAAAAACAAAAAGAAAAGGAAAGACTCCCAGAGGATCTGGGCACGCTTGAGGGGTGGTCTTCAACGAGATGAATTAAGTAGAAGAAGATACCATGGATTCCCTTCGGTTCTATCACTCCTGAGAAGAAGTTACTGAACTAAAACTCAAACCACTTGGGTTATTGTCTTCATGGCTACTATACGTGTAAGTCTTCAGTGGTAAAAACAGACATTAACCTAAATATATAATAGCCCCTTCCCAGGTCTCTTGTTTCCACAGCTCTGTATAAAGCAGGTGAGATCTAGTGAAGGCTCTCACAATGGTCTAATCTAGACGAATCAATTATCTAGTGAGAACTGATGTTCAAGCGACCAAGATGTGATCAAAAGAAAAACCATATTTCTTTATACTATAAATACAATTTCACTTTATAATAAAATTTTAGAGAAATAATAGACAAACAAAAATGGCTTTCTGGCCATTTTTCTGTGTTTTGGTGAAACAAATATTTGTCGAGCATTCTGATGAAACAAAGTTTTAATGGAACAATCACTGGATAGCTGTCAAAAACGAGGCCCTTCTTTTCCTTGACCTCTCCTTTAATGTCCTGCAGAATGCAGCAGAGGCCATTCACCAAATATTGGCATATAAAGCTAAGGCATCAATTATGCATTTTAATATTTATATGGTCTAATTTGTAAATACATATACATTTAATTTACTCAAAAATTAGTGAATGAATTTAAAATGTGACTCACCCTAACCAACAATCTTACTTTTCCAATAATTAAAAGAACCAACATTTATGACTCACTAGAGCTCTGACATGAATTCAAAACTGTGAACTCTAATCCCTGTGTCTGGGGCCTTTTCCACTGTATTGTAGACTACAGCTCGCCTCTCGGGCAAATGCCAGCTTCAAGTATTGAAATCCAGTCATACCAGAGAGCAATCAATATGTGATCCCTAGGATACATCTCAGCTCTCCAGTCAACCCTACAGGCCTGTATTATTATAATAATGTTTTAAGCCATCTCTCTATAGTATGTATTGATATGCAGCTATATGTGTGACTACACATATTTATTGTATATCTTTCTTTCCACGTAGATTATTAGCACCTTGAAAGCAAAGGCCATATTTTTCACTTCCGGTTCTCCCACTGTGGCCGCATTGTAGAGGGCGTTGAGCAACTGCTCACTAAGTAGTGGTTGAATTTAAATGAGTCAGAAAAGGTGTATATCACAACAGTATGACAGGTTAAGGGCCATGGTATTATCCCTTTTAGGTACCAGAGTTTCTACCTTACTGGGGAGCTATTTCAGCAGTCGTTTCCCCAGGTTTTAGTGAATCGTCAGTCTTGCCCATGGAAGCCTCAAGCCCCACTCCCAGGTTCATTTGAGTCTACTGGGGCTGAGAGTCTCCATTTGAACCAGTGGCCCAGGGTTCTCTGATACAAGGGTCCAGGACCTCACTCTGAAAAACACTGTCCGGATGAGTTATGGAAGGGTTAGATTCACTCCTAATTTTTAAACATCCCAATAAAATACAAAAATGTAAAAGGAAGGTGGTAGGACAGATTGTCCAGGTCGGCCAAAGTGACACAGTAATGTGTAAACACAGGCCACTTGCAGGTGCAAGAGGACTCACAGAGCTGCCACGTGGTGCAAGCCAGTGGGTGACATTTACCTCACGGCCTGTGTGACCGGTGTGCCCTGGAGTGGGACAGCCTACAAACTACCTGACTGCTGAGAATGAGGCCCCGTTACCAGTCGTCCGCTGTTCTCACATCCGGGCAACTGTAAGAATGCCTGTCCTTAACCAGCTGTCAACTACTAAGCAGCACGGCTTATGAGCACTAAGGCCGAGACCTGTGGGCAGTGGAAGGTCACAGGAGACATGGTGCCACACCCCAATCGAATCCACGTGGAATGACTGAACAGCAGACCCAAACAACATACTGTGTGGAGCGCTGCCCTGCAGAGCTTCCTCATGGCGAGGAAACAATGTCAGGAGGGACGCATTACAGGGTGGGAGAAAAAGGCCTCTTGGAGAAGATAAAACTTGATGTGAAGGCTGAGAAGGATTTATGCAGATGGACCTGTGAATGAGTTTCTCGGTGGACAAAAACAGCCTAAGGAAGGGCTCATTTCATCTGAAATGAGTTGAGTGTCCAACCAATGCTTTGGGCCAGCGTCACCCAGGGTCACTGAGACACGCCAGATCCTGCTCCAGGCAGTCCCAGATGTTGGCATCACTTGCCATCAGCAAATATCATTATTTTTAAACCCCATGCACTTGATGCTACTTTTATGGTGACGAAAAGGTTGTCATGGAACTAAGAAACTGGAAATTAAAACGAAAGTGATTTGCAAACGCTGCTCTGTACTCTGGCTTCCACGGGAGATTCCATAAGCTTTACCATTAAGAAGTCCACGAGTCAACCTCAGGGCCATGCTGTCACTAAACTTTACCTTGACCTTTCCAAACCTCACTTGTAGTCCTGGAGAGAAAAGAGGAAATCCAAAATACTTTAGATGTTTTGGTTATTCAGTTCAGCGTACTATAACTATAACTCGTCAGCTGATGGCTTTCCAATAAGCATTACTTGGCAGATTTATCACTAACTTAAAAAAAAAATTGGAATCAGATCTCTCCTCACCTGAACACAAGGCCTTAAAATCTTACCTCGATGTTGAGGTTATATAGGCAAAGAAGCTGAACTGAATTAGCACTGGAATATGAATGAAGCACTAAATATATATTTTGGATATTTGAAGTCTTATTTTTCATAGCTCACCCAATTCTCCTGAAAGTAAAAACACATTAGAATGCTTTCCTCTCACCCTGGCTGGTGTGGCTTAGTGGATTGAGTGGTGGCCAGTGAATCAAAGGGTCACTGGTTCAATTCCCAGTCAGGGCACATGCCTGGGTTGCAGGCCAAGTCCCCAGAAGGGGGCACATGAGAGGCAACCACACACTGATGTTTTTCTCCCTCTCCTTCTCCCTCCCTTTTCCTCTCTCTCAAAATAAATAAATAAAAATATTTTTTTAAAAAAAGAATGCTTATCTCTTAAAGTATAATTATTGTTATTTCAGTCTGTGCCAAACAAATTATGTTTGGAAGTTCCCACAACATACCAAGTAATGGTGATATTATTTAAAACAAGACTTCACCAAATAAGCTCAAGAATTCTTTGAGTTTATTTGTGGGACTTTGCTTTCTCGGCAAATGTTTCAAGCCTACAAGTCTGCTGTATTTTTCTTTTTAGATCACAAAAAGACAATTACAAAGTGGCAATTGTTTCTTTCCTAAATATAACCTCAAAGTCAACTAATTTCCCCTAAGTTAATAAATTTCCCAGGCTACAGAATATGGTTGTAGAAGAAAGACTGTAATTTTTAAAAGCTAGGTTGCAGATGACATGATCTTGCACATAAAAATTACTAAGGGACCCACTAAAAAACTATAAATGAGCTCAGCAAGGTTGAAGGATACGAGATCAATATTTAAAAATCAATTACATTTCCATACACTAAAAGCAACCCAAAAATGAAATTAAGAAAACAACTCCATTTAAAATAGCGTCACAAAGAACAACAAACTTAGGGAGAAATTTAAAAAAAAGACATGCCAAACCTATACTCTAAAAGTTATAAAACACTGTTAACAGGAATTAATGAAGACCTAAATACACAGAAAGACATTTCATGTTCACAGACTGGAAGACTTGATATTGTTGAGACGGCAGTACTCCCCAAAGTGATCTGCATGTTCGGTATAAACCTTATCAAACTTCCATCTGGCTTCTTTGCAGAAACCGACAAACTGATCCTAAAATTCAT